TAGCCACATGGCAGCTGAAAACTGTATATTCCCTTCCTGTTCTCCGCTGTTCCCTAGCTTGTCGTGCATTCTTTCCAAAAATCGGGACTTTTTAAAAATGCTGCAGGCTGCAGGACAAATTGTTAAAAATCAGAACTGTCCCACCAAAAGTGGGACATCTGGTCACCTTATGTCTTATCCCAAGCCCAAACACTTAATGAAAACATAGGAAGGGTTCGTGTATTCTCACATATCTAAGGCATGGAGTGCCTCAAGAAGAGAAAAGTCTGACATGGACAATGTAGCCTGCACTATTGCCTTCTTGCTCTCCCAAAGAAATGGGCTCAAAGAAGGAGTTTTTCCCCTTCCTTTTCCACAGTATGTCAACATCTTTTTTTTTTTTTGAGACAGAGTTTCACTCTGTCACCCTGGGTAGAGTGCCATGGCATCATAACTCACAGCAACCATGAACTCTTGGGCTCAAGCAATTCTCTTGTCTCAGTTTTTCACTTTTAGTAGAGATGGGGTTTCATTCTTGCCCAGGCTGGTCTCGAACTCTTGAGCTCAGGCAATCCACCTGCCTTGGCCTCCCAGAGTGCTGGAATTACAGGTGAGGGCCACTGCGCCCAGCCAGTATCTCAACATCTTAACTCAGCATCTTAAAAGTATATAGGGCTACTGTGAACTGTATGTGATGATGCCTTTGCTTTTTTTTTTTTTTTTTGCAGTTTTTGGCCAGGGCTGGGGTTGAACCCACCACCTCCGCTGGGGCCAGTGCCCTACTCCTTTGAGCCACAGGTGCCACCCCATGGTGCCTTTGAAAGAATGCTTTCCGCATCCCTAAGGTCACAATGTGTCTGTGATCACTTGATATCAGAAGACGACAAGCCTGAGTTTTGCTATATAGCTCAAATTTAAGGAGTACTTTCTGTTTGCCACACCCTGCATGAGGAACTTTACGTATATAATTCTGTTTAATTTTAACAAGATGCTTACAACTTAGAAACTTCTATCATTGTCTTTTAGAGATGAGGGAACTGGGTCCAGAGAGGAGATGCGGCTTGTCAATTACTAAGGTGGGGTTTGCGACTAACTCTGACTGACAGTGAGATCCCCAATCTTAACTACTCCATTAGCCCAAATGTAAAGGCCCCATCCTCCTCATTACGCGGAGGATCTGGATGGAGTGTAGTGAAGCAATCTGGTCTTACATGCCAAGTTTGCTAGGTTGGCATAGGTCCTAGGTTATCAGCGGCTCAAACATGCCTTGGGTAATCAGGCCGGCAAGGTCAGGGATGCTGGGAGGGAGGGATACTGGAAGAAAACGTTAGGTCTGAAAGTCCAAAAGGGGGGGCCCAGGGTCTGAGTAGCCTACATTTTGGATAAAGCTTTTTTCACTGGGTTCTGAACCAATTTGGTGGCCCTGGGAATCCTTTTGACAAAGTAAAAGAGAGAGTGAGGACAATTCTACAGGGCTGGTCTATAGAGAATGACACCAGCAGTTATGAGGTGAAGACCTGGACTCAGCATCCCAGGCTCTGGATTCAAGGGCTGGCTGGATTCTGGTGATCATTGATTTCTTTGGTTTTTACCCCAATTACTATGGAGGGACTAGAGAAGAACTTTGGTAATTGGTAGTTGTTGTTATAATATTTCACAGGAAAAATACTATCTCATAGAAAGTATGACATTCAATTGTGTCTATGTATCAGAGAACGACTTGAAAACTAGGCTTTTCCTACCTTCAGCTGGACATGTTCCATTATTTAAAAACTTTGTTCCTGGGTAAATACACTCCACGCTCTTCAGGTGACAGTATGTTGGGTAGCTTCTCCCATTGGTTGCACATACCACGGAGCCATTCTTTGGGCACTGATACGGGAGTTTACAAACACAAGTCCCCTCTATGCATTTTTGCCACGGGTGACAGAAGACTTTACTGCAGGAAAGGTGTGTGTATTTTTTCGCTAAGCACGTTTTCTCCACCAGATCCTCTTGAGGGGTGTCTGATGTTAAAGTGAGCTGTACAATGCAAAATAAACAGTAACTTAGCAACAAACTAAAGTCTTCTGTGTGAAGATGAGTAAATGAGGGGAGAGGGCAAAGCAGACCCACCTCACAATACGGATGTGTTTGGGGTAGTCTGGTGGCTTTAAGAATCAGACAAACTTGGTGTCTAGTTCCAGTTTGGGCACTTAGAGTTACATGACCTAGAACAAGGGATTCTGTTGAAATGTGAATTTCCTGTCTGCAAGATGGGAATACTATCTCTTCTATTTACCATGAAGATTAGAAATAATACATGTGTAATAGTTGGTAGTTCCTGGACTTGAAATTAGTGAAATTTATTATTATCCTAAGGCCAACGCAGATTTTGGCCTTTGAAAAAAATCAGTGAATCTCAGCAGTCATGTTAAGGAGTAAACACACTTGGTGTTGAATATAGTGTCATGGAATGAATTGATGTGGGAAATTTATTAATTGTGCACTCCATATATTAAACTCCTGCTAGGATGGTATGACATGATCTCTCTCTTTGAAGGGCTTGATATGTAGGCAGTAAAGTAGAAACACACCTGACGGCTGGGATGAAAGGCAAGCTACACCAAGTAATACAACACTGGCAAACATACCACTCAGTACTCTTGGAGAACCAGGGTGGGAGAGATCGTCTCTCTAGGGAGATTTAAAAAGACATCCCAGCAGTAGTAGCATTGGAAAAACCCAGGAAGGACAGGTATGGCTGTCAGAGGGCTGGTGCTAGCAGCACCCGGAGCAGGGATAGTGCAGGACAAATTTAGGACACTGTGAGCAGCCTCTACATTCACGCATATGGCGCTGAGTGTGCTCCAGATGGGGCGGCCGCTGCTCAGGAGACTGGGGAAGAAGAGGCAGCAAGAGTGTTGTATGAGAATGGTCTGGAAAGATATGAGCAAGCAAAAGCATTAGGATTCAATAGCTTAATCTGTGAAAGGGTAAGGGGTGGGTCCTAGGTTTTGAGGCTGAACCAATGGAATTATGTATAGTGATATTAGGTGGAGTGTTGTGAATATGGTTTGGGACCTTTTGAATATGGGGTATTTTGTAAAGGATATGTGTGTCTGAGGTTTAGAAGGCAGATTATTAGCTCATGTATCATTTAACAGAATAAGTGAGTTAGTGAACACTGCTTTGTGCTAGGGACTGTCCTAAGGCTAGGGACAAAGGGATGAAAGCCTGCCCTGTGGGATACACCAGCCCAAAGAGAGACAAGCCAGCATGACTGGCAATTTTCCTGATTGACCTGGGCCAGGGATGCCCTGAGGACAGAGTTCCGGGCCCCTCAGCCAGGGTAGAAGATTTAGGACCATTTCTAGGAGCAGCTTATGTCTGGACTGAGTTCTGAGGGTGTGTGGGAGTCAGCTGCCGAGGCAGTAGTGGTTAGGGACTCCAGGCTGCACTGTGAGCTGGACTCCAATGGTGAGTTGCAGGTTGGAGAACAGAATGAGAAGTTGGCTGGGGAAGAGGGAGCAGGTCCTGAGGAAGCCTTTGAGAGACTGTAAGTGGAAAAGCACTTCCTGGAGATCAGATGAGATGGGGAAGAGGCCAATTAGACCTGCAGGAGTCCAGAGGAAATATGATGGGGGTGAGGAATGGGACAATTGGGCCAAAGGTCAGTTTGTGGAAAGCCAGGGTCTCTCCCTGTCCCCAGCCATGCTAGGAAGGATGGGCATCTTGTCCCCCAGTCTCCCTTCTCCAGCAGTGACAGCCTCATCCTTCCTCGGTGCCTTGCAGCTGCGGTAACAGCCGGCTAGGGCACAAATGAGTAGACTTTAAATGCTCTTATGAAGACAAAGATAAGCTAATTAAAACCTTGCAAAAATTTGCAAATGTTGTAAAAGTCATTCTCTCCAGCATGCTTTTTAGTTTACTTTAGCCATAGAAACAAGAAAATTTGACAAATGGGTCATTTTTGTAAACTGGCTTTTGACATAGTGATCTAGAATTAAATCTACTAGTTACACACTCTTCATAGTTCCACATACTTCTTTGGGGCATTTAATCAGAGTTGGATTCTTTTTTTTTTGAGACAGTCTCAAGCTGTCACCCTGGGTAGAGTGACATCACAGCTCACAGCAACCTCAAACTCCTGGGCTTAAGCAATTTCTCTTGCCTCAGCCTCCCAAGTAGCTGGGACTACAGGACCCACCACAACACCCAGCTATTTTTTGGTTGTAGTTGTTGTTGTTTGGCAGGCCCGGGCTGGATTTGAACCTGCAGCTCTGGTATATGTGGCTGGTAGCCTAGCTGCTGAGCTACAGGCACTGAGCCCAGAGTTGGAATTTTTGTCCTTATTTCTCTCCTGTATCTTCTGCTAACCAGCTTGGAAGTGCCCTGATGGCAGAGACCTTTTATGTTATCATCACCTTTATGTTGAAAGAGTGATAGCAACTTGATTCTTTTTTTTCCCTCCATGTTTCCCCCTTTAAATCCTTTCGTTCTTTTTTTTTAAGCCTCCTGAGTAGCTGGGACTGCAGGCACCTGCCACAACATCCGGCTATTTTTTTTTTTTTTTTTTTTGGTTGCAGTTTGGCTGGGGCTGGGTTCGATCCCACCACCCTTGGTATATGGGGCTGGCGCCCTACTCACTGAGCTACAGGTGCCACCCCTTTAAATCCTTTTTGAGGTCTCCTTTCTCCTTGATCTTTGGATATGAACTTGGGTAAGTGCCATAATTTTTTAAGTCATTCTTAGATTTAAACAAACAAACAAACAAAAATACTTTTATTCCTAGGAACAGTCAATACACAGCAATGACAATGTCTCCTCCCATGTAACTGTTGAAATGCTGACCTTCATGTCAGGTGAAAGCCTCTCCCCTCTCTGCTCAGACTTGCTTCAGGTCTGGTGGGCCCTTTGTTAGCCCTCCTTCATCCCGCAGCTTGCAAGGCCAGGAGAGGAAGAGAGGGACAGGCAACCAGTCTCACCTGACTCTTAGGGCTACAACCTAGACTTGGTGGGGTAGGGTAGGGATTAAAGCTGACTCTCACATGTGGGGTACGATAAGGTTCTCTAGAGATTATAGAATGGGAAATATCAAAGCTTTGAGAGAGAGAAAAATGGTTGAAACAAGGAGATGGAAGTAATCACAGCACAGGAGAGTTTGTGTTAGAAATTAAGCAATTTCCTGCCCCTATAATTTCCTATTACTGGAATCCACTTTATGATATTTTAAACTTCAGATGGATGGTAATGGCTAACACCAACACAGTGGCTGTTGACAATGGCGACACTAATCAAAAGAGAGATAGAAAGTCACTGTTGGCCAATAGTAAGAAGAGAGGTTTATTTATACCCTATTTAAACCATAATGACAGTAGTTCTAGCTATTTTACGTCTAGTTTAGATATAAAGGGGCACAGAGAAATGGGGTGATAGTTAGAGTTGGCCATGGGATTAAAGGAGGGTTGTGTCTCAAGCTTGATTAAGGAATGTTATATGAGTTTTAAGTGAAGTAATCCTCATAAATTAACAAACATCCTGAAGAGATTCTTGTCAAGAAATGAATCCTGTATTGAAAATAATGCCAAAATGCAATACCAATGAACAAGAAAATTCCAGAGCCTACATTTCTAGCAAAAGTAAAAGCTGTTCATTAGCCACATGGAATAAAAAACAATACAAAGTTAATCAAATATGCTAAGAACTCGGTTCTTCTCTTCAACCAGAAGTATTAAAAAGACTATTTGAAATGACTTATATCTAATATCATTAATGTTGAACCTCTCCCTATGTATTTATTGTGTTGCTCTTTGTGAGTTATCTTTTCCAGATAACACGCTATTAAAATCAAATGAAAATGATGCAGCAGTATGTAAGATTAGGAGATGGGGTCACACTTATCTGTGTTCCTATGGAAACTATTTCAATATTTGTTTTACATGGATTTTTATTCACTTTTCAGACATGCTATGAAAGAGCACCCCTCCGCTGCTCAGCAAGCATTTGTAGCTTGTACCATGGCAGAATGGGCCAAAAGCTTAGTGTTGTGACCTGTTTTAAGAATAAAGTATCTCGAAATCAAAAAAAATCAAATGAAAAGTTTGAAAATAAGAAAGTGTGATGAATGACATTATTCCATAAAATATTAACAGTCAAAATTATTATTAAAATATTTGTGTGTATAAAATTCTGTCTTATTTTAAGGTGCATTTATTTGTACAATAGCACATTTATTATTTATAAATAAATATATTCACATATACTGGGAGCACATGCTCTAAAATTTTTTAGCAATTGTTAGTACTTCAGACTAGTCATCTACAAAACATGGTCCCATCTCTTTTAGTCGGTGCTGCTTCTTTGTGTATATTGGCTTTTTTTTTTTTTTTTTTTGAGACAGAGCCTCAAGCTGTCACCCTAGGTAGAATGCTGTGACATCACAGCTCACAGCAACCTCCAACTCCTGGGCTCAAGCGATTCTCCTGCCCCAGCCTTCCAAGTAGCTGGGACTATAGGTGCCCACCACAAAGCCCGGCTATTTTTTGATTGCAGTTGTCGTTGTTTGGCGGGCCCCAGGCTGGATTCAAACCCGCTAGCTCAGGTGTATGTGGCTGGTGCCTTAGCTACTTGAGCCACAGGCGCTAAGCCTGTATACTGGCTTAAAAAAAAAAAATTCTTTCCTGGTATTTGCAATGATATAGCAATAATTTTTATGTGACCTTTATCTTTTTTCTCTAGGTGGGAGTCAGTGAAACCATTTTATTTGTATTTATTTATTTTTGAGACATAGTCTCAGTATGTTGCTCTCAGTAGAGTGCTGTAGCGTCACAGCTCACAGAAATCTCAAACTCTTGGGCTTAAGTGATTCTCTTGCCTCAGCCTCCCAAGTAGCTGGGACTACAAGTGCCTGCCATAATGCCTGGTTATTTTTTTTGTTGTAGTTGTCATTGTTGTTTGGCAGGCCCAGGTTGGATTTGAACCCACTAGCTCCAGTGTATGTGGCTGGTGCCCTAGCCACTGAGCTACAGGCTCTGAGCCAAAACCATTTTAGATATATGGTTGTTCATTAGAAAACAAATAAGGAACAAAACACCCTCCTATTCCAGGCCTTCTCAATCCAATTTATAGACATACAACTTTACCTTAGTTTTCTTTGTTGTCATGTCTTGTCTGGGTCTTCCCCATTTAACCTAAAAACAAAGGACAAAAGATGATCAGTTATGATCAAAGTGAGAAGAAGTCTACTCCCGTCCCCTCCTCCTGGGCATCATTAGAAAGTTCCCCCTTCTATTGCTAACTAACTGTGTAATCTTGGGGAAATGACATTATTTTTGATCCTATCTTCTTCATTTCTATAAAATGTAGAAAATACAAATAACCCATTTCTACAGAGCTACGGTGAGGATCAAATGAAAAATACATGAGAAAGCACAAGTAAACATTTAAGATCCAATGTAAATGCTAATATGATGATTGGTGTAGAGTGCAGGTAGCCATGATTTTTCTACCCTCATCTCATCACAGTCCTTTGCTGTGCCTCTTACTGGGGACAAGGTGTATTTCCCCATTCTTGGACTCTAGGACAGGCTATGTGACTTGCTGTGGCCAAGGAGAAGTAAGCAAATGTGACACAAGAGCTGCTTGGAAAATACTTGTGCAACTTTTTGGTCCTGTGTTTCTCTGCCGTAACTATGAGAAGAATGTGGCCAGGCTAATACAGAGAGGAAAGAAGAACCACACCTGCTGAGCCCAGCATAGACCTGCTGACCTACAGAATTGCATACTAAATAAAGTTGTATGCCATGGAGACACTGTAGTGCTTTTATCATTGTTATTAACCACAGGCACAATATTGATCTCCCTGGAAAATTCTGAGGAAAAAAAATGAGAAAGTTTCAAAAAGAGTAGACAGTATAAAATTATGTCTTTTCTCCAGGTGAATAAACAACTTTGATCTCAAGAGTTACATATCAGTAAAGGTTCTCTATGGGCTCACTTCCTGCCCATCACGACATTCATTAGAAATTTTTCTCTCTCCTTAAGCTGCCTATCTTGCATTATACTTGAGAGCAGCTCTGTTCCAGGGTGCTGCAGATACCCCAACAACTCCTTAATTAGCAGCCATTTTATTCAGATAAAAGAATAGGGAGAGAATGTTTTTCTATTAATACCTAATAATGAATTATTCCAATTCATGTAAGAAATTTGATAAGGTCTTTTGTTGTTTTTGTTTTCATTTTACAAATAAATGTCCCTCTTTTCCCAGGATCAAACTGTTGTTGGGAATTGGGGGAAGATGGCTTTATGATGTGAGCAGGTAGGATGGATTCTTGTATCTTATTCTTTAGTCTCTCCAAAAAAACAGAAAGTAGTGTTTTGGAGCAACTTCATTATTTTTGTCTCAGAGATTAAAATAATCATTGGCCTAGTTTCTTGGTCTTGGTTTTTTTCAAAATGAATGTGAGATGACTAAAATTTTGCTTTCCCCCCCTTTTAATAGATTTTTAAAAATGGGAAACACAGAGAAATCTTCAAACAGGTTCAAAAAGATGCCTGCAAAAATTGTATTTCGTTCCTTCACTTACCTTCTTAATCTACCTAGGGCCCACCTCAGAGGTAATCTTTCCAGCAATCAGCTACATATACCTGAGCCCAATTTTGCTCTCTAATATCAGCCCCACAATATCAGTGCATTTGTAAGCATTAGTCTTATGACCAGCCCTAAAGTGCATGTAGATTGTTTCCAATGTTTTGCTATTATGAACAATGCTGGAATGAATGATCTTTTCCCCTATATGTTAAGTATACCTGTCAGATACTTATCTGGAAGTTAAATTGCTGAATCAAAGAAATGAGCAATTTTAATACTGAAAGATACTGCCTATATGAGAATGCCTAAGATCCATATCCTTAACCACAGGATATATACCTTATTAACTTTTTTATCTTTGACAATTTGATATGTAAAAATGTTATCAGAGTATAATTTTACTTGCATTTTTTTCCCTGAGTGAAGTCTAGCATCTTTCAGTATGTTCAAATTTTGAGATTTTTACTTTTTTCTCCATATACTAACTATATCTTTTACTTTTCATCCAATGTAAATTAGATGTTTTTCTTGTCTTTTGCAATCATTTTTTTTTTTTTTTTTAGATAGAGTCTCACTCTTTCTGTTGCCCAGGTTAGAGTGCCATGGTGTCTTCATAGCTCACAACAACTTCAAACATGTGCTCAAAGGATCCTCTTGCCTCAGCCTCCTAAGTAGCTGGGACTACAGGTGTCCACCACCACGCCTAGCTAATTTTTTTCTATTTTCAGTAGAGATGGGTCTCACTCTTGCTTTAGCTAGTCTTGAACTCCTGAACTCAAGGAATCCACCTGCCTAGGCCTCCCAGAGTACTAAGATTACAGGCACAAGCCCTTGGGCAGAACTTTTTTTTTTTTTTTTAAAAGACAGAGTCTCGTTCTAATACCTGGTCTAGAGTGCCATGGTGTCAGCCTAGCCCACAGCAACCTTAAACTCCTGGGCTGAAGCTATTCTTTTGCCTCAGCCTCCCAAGTAATTGGGCCTATAGGCACCCATCACAATATAGAGCTATTTTTTTTTCTACTTTAGTACAGACAGGATCTCACTCTTGCTCAAGCTGGTCTCAAACTCTTGACTTCAAGTGATCTTCCTGCCTCAGCCTCCCAGAGTCCTAGGATTACAGCCACCATGCCTGGCTCATGAGAACTTTTTATATATTAAAAAATAACACAGCCTTTTGCCTGAAATGTGAGTTGCAAAAATTGTTTGCCTATTGACAGAGGGCAAGCCTAGAGTATTTTTCCCACAGAGTAAATACTTTTTAAATCCCCACACACAACAAAATTATTTTCAGTAAAAATCATGAAATGAAAAGAATAATGAATTATGCAGAAAAGGCAAACAGTGAACATTTTCTTTTATTGAAATTCGTATATATAACCATGCCTGTAAAAAATCTAAAGAGGAAATTGCTTATTACTGGCTTGACCCCTTTAACTCAGTGGCTAGGGTGCCAGCTACATACACCAGGGATGGTGAGTTCGAACCCAGCCCTGGCCTGCCAAACAACAATGATGACCACAACAATAACAAAAAAAAATAGCCAAGTGATGTGGCGGGCACCTGAAGTCCTAGCTACTTGGGAGGCTGAGGCAAGAGAATAGCTTAAGCCCAAGAGTTTGAGGTTGCTGTGAACTCTGATGCCAGGGCACTCTACTGAGGGAGATATAATGAGACTGTCTCAAAAAACAAACAAGCAAACAAACAAAAACAAAAAAAGAAAGAAAATGCATTTTATAGTATAAAGAAAAAGATATATTTTCAATTACATTAAGGTATTCAATGAAAAAGAGACAAATTATACCTGTATATAAGTCTGTTACAGTAAAAAGAAAAAAAATTGAAGAATAAAAAAAATAACAAAAATAAATAAAAGAGAAAAATTTCATTGTAGAGATACTATTCAAATTTGGTAAAGTATTTTCTGTATGAACTACAATTTGCACTTAGCAGACAACATTACTGCACTTCTCAGTTTACACTGTTTTACTTCTTTATATTTAAAGAACAAAAATTCCAAATAGCCATTAGAATGACAAAATTGAACAATTCAACTTTTATTCCTTCATCTTTATAATCATTGTGAAAACATTTTAAATTTTGAAACTAGAAAATTCAGGAAAATGTGATACCAAATAGTTTGAAGACAGGAACTGTACTGCCTAAAGTGAGCTTAAACAATTCCAATGCATAATGTATATGAGTCCACCTCTGTCACCTCTAAACTGACAGCTGACTGAATTAACCTCCAATTATAATGCAATGTCTATTAAAGAATAAGTAAAACAAAATGTTCATGTGACGTTTACATTCATATTTTAAAAACTCAACAGCAGACTCAGCAACTGTTAATTGTGCTATTGAATACAATATCCATTAACAAAATAAGATTATGAAAATTCAAATTAATTAAAAGTTAATGAGAATTCTGTTTCTAGCTTAAAACAATGAAAAAATAGGCAAAATGATAGAAAACAATGGTTTTTAAGACACTCAACACCAGGCAAGGAAGGGTAGTAATCCCCAGAGTTGAGGAGAAATGAGATGAGCCTTCTATTTGTTCCATGGGTTTTTTTTTTTTTTTTTTGCCTTGAAAGAGAATTTCAGCCTGGACTATAGAGAGGGGGGAACTTGGGTTGAGCTCAGTGGAACCTTGAGGTTAGGAGAAAGAGCTGAGAGTCAGTGGAGACTGACTGTAGTTTATAGAACAAAGACCTAGAAAGAAGCTGCTTAAGGACAGAACTTTGGAGCTCTGTAAAAGGTCTCCTTTCAGTATGCAGCTGAGTATTCATCAATACCTATGTGTGAAAAAACTATCAGAGGCTGGGGAAAGAACCACTGAAAACAACTTGAGGTAATAACACCCATGCTCAAACAGCTCGTTCTCACCACTCAATCTAGAAAGCTTATCATTCATGGGACACTGGGTGGAGTATACAGAAGATCTTGCCCTAATAGTGTATAATTAGCCCTAGTTTGAGTATGGTTTGATCCTACCTAAGAAAGCTTAAGAGCAAGACCTGAAAGGATCAAACAGTTTCTAAATAACTAAATTACCCCCTAGAACAAAGCTCAATAATATTTTCAGGAATAAAAAAACTCATTCAATAAGATAAAATTCATAACATTTTGGCATTTAATGAAAAACAATAGGCACACAAAATGTGACCCATAATGAGGAGAAAAATCAATCAATTGAAACTTACCTAGCATATCTAACACAGATGTTAAAATTAGGGAGGCAAGGAGACCAAAAGTTATTATAACTGATCTAAATGAAAGAAAAATCCAAAAATAAGAAGTAAGAACTGCTTCTGGTTCAGAGTTCAGATACCACAATGGCTCAAGAGGTAAAAGAAAGCAGTGAAGTTCTATTCAACAGGATGGACAGAAATCCACCTTACTTATCAATCTTTTCAATAAATGTAAATGGATTGAACTCCCTTTTCAATAGATATAGGCTAGCTGAGTGTATAAAAAAATACAGTCAAGTATCTGTCACTAGGAAATACATCTAACTCACAGGGCCTCATTCAGAAAAGGGATGGAAAACAATATTCCATGCAAAAGCAAACCAAAAGAAAGCTGGTAGAGCCATTTTCAGGTCACCAACGTAGATGTCAAAGCAACAAAAGTAAGAATGATTATTATACAGTGGTAAAGGGAATAATTCAACAAGAAGACATAATTATTTAAAATATTTCTGTACCCAACACAGATGCACCCAGATTTATAAAGCAAATCCTACTAGATCTAAAAAAAAAAAGTGATGAACAGCAATATTGTAATATTCAGGTACTTCCACACAGCACTGACAGAACTGGACAGATCCTCCAAGTAGAAAAAAATAAATAAACATAGGACTTAAACAAGACTCCAGAGCAAACAGGTCTAATAAATATTTACAAAACAGTCTACCACAAAACTACTGAATATATATCTTCTTATCAGCACATAGAACATTCTTCAAGATTGATCACATCTTAGGCCACAAAACAAATCTCTGCAAATTAAAAAAAATATAAATTATGCCATGTATATTATCAGACCACAATGAAGTAAAATTAGAAATCGACACCAACAGAATCAACAACCAATTGCTGAACTATTATTGGGTCAAGGAGGAAATTAAGATGGAAATCATAAAATTCTTCAAAGTAATTGATGAGGGGACCAAGTTATTAAAATCTGTGGGACTCATCAAAAGCAGTCCTAAAAGGAAAATTCATAGCCTTAAATGCCAACATCAAAAAATCAAATCAAAACAAAACTACCAAAACCAACCAAACAAAAAACTCAGAAATATTGCAAATCAACAACCTAATAAATTGTGTCAAGGAATTAAAGAAGAAAGAGCAAACCTATCCCAAATCCAGCAGAAGAAAAAAAAAATAAATAAGGTCAGAGCAGAACTAAACAAAAGAATTAAACAGAAGATTAATAAAACAAAAAATTGGTTCTTTGAAAAGGTAAACAAAATTGAGAGACCTCTTGCTAGATAAGCCAAAAAGAGAAAAGCAAGGAGGTATTACAACTGATATCACACTCACTACTTTCCATAACAGCAGCAATGAAAATAAAATACCTAGGAATATATTTAACTGAAGAAGTGAAAGGCCTCTGCTGGGAGAACTATGAGATACTAATGAAGGATATCATGGAGGAGGTAAAAAAAATGGAAAAACATATCATTCTCATAGACTGGCATAATCAACATTGTTATAATGTCTGTGCTACCCAAAGTGATCTATAGATTTAAAGCAATCTTCACTAAAATACCAGGGTCATTTGTTATGGAACCAGAAAAGAGCCTGAATAGCTAAAGCGACCTTAAGCAAAAAGGACAAATTGGGAAGCATGAGTTTACCAGACTCCAAGCTATCTAACAAGACTATGGTAATCAAAACAGCATGATAATGGCACAAGGAGAGAAACATAGAGCAATGAATCAGAACAGAAAACCCAGATGTAAAACCATCTTTATATTGCCATCTGATCTGAACAAAGCAGAAAATAACATACACTGGGGAAAAGAATCCCTAGTCAATAAGTGGTGCTGGAAAAATTGGACAGACACATGTAGAAGACAGAAACAGGATCCACAGACCTCTTACCACTCACAAAAATTAATTCACAATGGATAACAGACTTAAACCTAGCGCATAAGAGTATAAAAATTCTAGAAGAAAATGTTGGAAAATCTCCTCTAGACATCAACCTAGGGAAAGAATTTATGACAAAGATCCCAAATGCAATCACAGCAATAACCAAAATTAACAAATGGGATCTGATTAAATTAAAAACTTCTGCACGGCCCAAGAAGTTAATCGACAGAGTGAATAGACAACCTACAGAATGGGAGAAAATATTTGCATGCTATATAGCCAATAAAGGGATAACAACAAGAATCTATAATGAACTGGAGCAAATCATCAAGAAAACAATAAAACCCCATAAAAACTGGACAGGAGCTGAAGCTTTTCAAAAGAAGATAGACTAATGGCCAATAATCATATACAAAATATTCAACGTCTCTAATCATCAGGGAAGTGCAAATCAAAACCACAACAAGGTAGCACCTAACTCCAGTAAGAATGGCTTTTGTCAAAATATCCCCGAACAACAGATGATGGCATGGATGTGCCATGTCATCACTTATGTGCAGCTGGTGGCACTGCATACTAGGACAGCCTCTACAGAAAGTCATATGGAGCTACTTCAAAAAACTAAAAGTAGACCTACCATTTGATTCAGCAATCTCATTATTGCATATTAATCCAAAGGGAAAAAAGTAATTTCACCAAAAAGACACATGCACTCCAATGTTTACTGCAGCACAATTCATAACTGCAAAGATGTGGAACCAACTCAAGTGTCCGTTAATACATGAGTAGATTAACAAAATGTGATATGTGTATAACATAGCATACTACTGAACCATAAAAAAATGTTGAACTAATACCTTTGAAACAACCTGGATGGCACTGGAGACAATTCTTCTAAATAAAGTTTCACAAGAATGGAAAAACAAACACCAGATGTACCCATTATTAAATTGGAACTAACCAATCAACACCCATGTGCATATTTGGCAATAAACTGAATGGAAAGTAAGCAGGTAGGAGGGGGCAGGATAGAAGGGGTAAACCAGCACCTAATGGGAACATGCACACTATCTAGGCGAGGGGCACACTTATAACATTGACCCAAACTATACAAAAGCAATTCATGTGACCACAGCATTTGTACCCCCATAATATTCTGAAATATTTTTTAAAAGTTAAAACGTGATATGCAAAAAAGTTATCATAACTGTATTTTGTATGTTCAATAAGTTAAATAGAGACATGGAAGATACAAAAAGGTTCAAATTGAACTTCTAGGGATAAAAACTACCATACTTGAGATTTTAAAAAAATTGACAGAACTAGTGACAGATCAGGCTTTGGAACAGAAAAAAACTTGGAAAATGTAAAGACACATTAATAGAAAGAAACGATCTAGAATGAAACACAGAAATAACAAAGAATATAAAAAGAGAGAGAATGGAGTATAAGTGAGCTGTGGGGCAGCTTGAAGCAGCCTAGTATAAGAAATTAGAGTCTCTCAAAAAAGAAGAAAACAAAAAACATTTGAATAACTCATGGCTGAAAATTTCCCCAATGTAATGGAAACTATAAAAACACAGATCCTACAAATAGAATGAACCCAAGCACAAGAAACATGAAGGAAACACCACTAACTGCTACCTAGTACTCAAATTGCTCAGAAACTGGTGATTAAGAGCTGGGTGCAGTGGCTCATGCCTGTAATCCTAACACTCTGGCAAGCCAAGGTGAAAGGAGCCCTTAAGCTCAGGAGTTTGAGACCAGCCTGGGCAAGAGTGAGACCTTGTCTCTACTAAAAGTAGTAAAAACTAGCTGGGCATTGTGGCGGGTGCCTGTAGGCCCAGCTGTTTGGGAGGCTGAGGCAGGTGGATTGCTTGAAGCCAGGAAGTTTGAAGTTGCTGTGAGCTAGACTTAGACCATGGCACTCTACCTGGGGCAACAGAGTGAGACTCTGTCACACACACACCCCCCAAAAAAAGAAGAAGAAGAAGAGGAGGAGGAGGATAAAGAGAAGAAGAGACTAATGATAAAGAGAAAATAAGAAAAAAAAAAAAACCAAACACAGGGTGTACAGAAGAACAAAGATAAGGATGACATATTTCTTATCCATAATGCAAGTAACAATGCCCCAACATTTAAAAAGTACTGAAAAAAAAATTTTTTTTGAGACAAGAGTCTCACTTTGTTGCTCCCAGTAGAGTGTGGTGGAGTCAAAGCTCAGAGCAACTTCAGCTTCAAGCGATTCTCTATAGAGAAAAGCTGGGGCTACAGGCTCTGGCCACAATGCCCTGGCTAATTTTAGAGGTGGAGGGTCTCGCTCTAGTTCAGGCTGGTCTTGAACTCATGAACTCAGGCAATCCACCTGTTTCAGCCTCCCAGAGTGCTAGGATTACAGGTGTGAGCCATGGCACCCAGCAAGTACTGAATTTTTTTAGAAAACTCTGTTGGCCTATAATTCTATATCCAGTAAAAATATCATTAAAAAATTAAGGCAAAATAACTATTTCAGACATACAAAAGCTTAAAGGAATTGATCAGCAGCAAACCTACACTAGAAGAAGTTTGATTAAGTCCTTTGAGCAAAATGAAAATTATCCTAGATGAAAATTTGGATCTACACAAACAAATAAAGAATATTGGAAATTTATGGTAGGGGTAACTTTTATCTTTGCTTTGCACCTTTTCTTGTGGTATCTTCATCTGAGTTTGGGATAAGAGTAAAAATGGCCTTAGAGAATGCATTAGAAATGCTCCCTTCTCTTCTATTTCTTTGGAAGAGTTTATAAAGGGGTAGTATTAATTCTTCGTATGTTTGGTAGAATTTACCAGTGAAGCCATTTGGTTCTAGAGATTTCTTTCTTGGGAGGTCTTTTGTTACTGATTCTATCTCTTTACTTGTTATATAGGTCTGTGAAGGTTTTCTATTTCTTCTTGAATCAGTTTTGGTAATTATTTTTTCTAGGAATTTTTCCCATTTCATCTAAAGTTATCTAATTTGCTGGTGTATAATTGTTTACAGCACACGTAGTTGCTTATCACTCTTTTTATTTCTGTAAGGTGAGTAGTAATGCCTCCAATTTCATTTCAGGTTTTAGTTATTTACATGTTTTCTCTTTTTTGTCAGTTTAGCTAAGGTGGGACAATTTTGTTAATGTATGACATCTTTATATAATATATAACTATTAACATGATTTATTTATTTTTAAGCAACATATTACAACTTTATTAAATTCTCTATTTTACTGGCTGTTCAGATTCAACAGAGGCCTTAGTAACCTTCAACTACAGTCCTTTAACATTTTTGTGGTGTCATTTGTATATACTGTGACATCTGATTAAGTGGCACAAGACTAGACAAATCTATCAACACAGAGCCACTGTTAACTGTCACAGCTTTGGTTTTGTAATAATTCAACCATAAATGTAAAGATATTCAGTCTTCTGTGAGGGTTCTTTGCTGCTGCTGTGCAAGGCATTACTGAAAAATATTTTACCAGGATAGTCCTGAATAATGACAGATACTAGTGATGCCATGTGCCAGGTCAGTCAAAACTCATTTGTATTTAGCATGAGAAAAGTAGCAAGGGCATGAAATGTTTCTCTTTGGGGCCTCCCTTTCCTTCCACCTGCGCATGCACTCCTTCCTCAACACAGCTCACTACCCATTCACCTGGTATCTTGATCACAATCCCTGGAGTGTGCTCCAAGGAAGAAGGGTATTTAGGGTCTGCTCTGTATAGGGGTGGTGGCTAGATGGGTGGGGGACTGGATAAACTGACAAATAGAGGGAAGAAGGGAAACATCCCCCCAAATTATTTAATAGAATGTTCTTCATGACACCTCTTGGGATGTAAACAGAACTTGGTGTAAAGAAGATCATTTTGATGGCTAAACATTTGTATGATGGAGTAAGGCAGTTTCTTGACCCCTACCCACCATCTAATAGATTTTTCTCAAAATCTGGGGACAATGGAGGAGGCACATTTTTCCCTTTTGAAATGGGGACAATGTGCCTCTTCCCAAAAGTGATTTTAAAACACTGGCTCTCCAAAGCATCAGCCTCCCGGTCAGCAGTTTTAGCTGTGCCCTTTGGAACCTGTCAGTTCTGGAGTCTGATGTCTGAAGAGCATTTCCATTCACTTTCACTTCAGAGAGTGTTAGTGGGGTCCGGCAGCCCTGTGGTTCCAAGTCCTACCCTTTGATAACCTCGACTGGTCTCAGTTTAATGGCTTTCTTGCCGATCCCAGCGTCATGGCAGGTGTTCACCACATCTGTCACATTCTTATAGGACTCAGGAGCTTCTTCCATAACCAATTTGGGTGAGGCAACATGGATTGAGATACCCATATCTGCCAATTTATCTAAGACATCCTAGAAATCTAAATTATGTCGAGATTTGGCCTGGGACAATGCACGGCCCACTCCATGACAGGTTTTCCAAAGGTCTCAGTCATGCCCTGCTCAGTGCCTGTAAGAACGTAACTACAGGTTCCCATGGTGCCACCAATGAGTACTGTCCGGTGAGTTGGTAATCTACAGCAATGAGGGGATGGTGAGGAGGGAAGACGCCGGTGGACCCCTTCCAGTGCACTAACAGTGTCCGCTCCTTCCCATCCACCACATGCTGCTCCACTTTGGCAATGTTGTGAGAAACATCACAGATCACGTGCAGGTCCAAGTCATCAGAGGTTGTGTTGAAGACCATGGCAAAAGCTTGATAGGTTAAGAAGGTCATGGAAGAGTGGTTGACCCAGGCATAGTTCCCAGCCACTGCCATTCCCTTCAGGTAGTCCTGACCGTCTGGGGAAGCAATTTGCGCACAAGCCAACTGCCGGTCATTGACTATAATCTTGTCTCTCTTCATGGCCTTTTCCATAGCTATCAGTGCATCTGTGGCTACTTGGTGGCCCAAGCCTCTGCTTCCACTGTGGATCATCGGTCGATGCCCATTTTCTTAGCAGCATACTCATTGAAAATCTCATCCACAACCTGGATTTCTGCATAGTGATTGCCTGCTCCCAGGGTCCCCAACTAAGGAAGGCTCTTTTTTTTAGCCCTTGCAGAGACGTTGGTGGGGTCAGCTTGCAGCATCCTTCCGTACTCTTCACAGTGCTCCTTGTCTTCAGCCCAGGCATAGCCTTCTCTCAGGGAACAGTCCACACCCATCTCCAAGGCCTCCTCCAAGTCTTTGGCATTCATTGGGATGATGCCTTTTGATTCCCCCCCAACAGGAATGTGGTCAAACATAGCTTGGGCAAGTTGCTCCTTCACAGGCTGGACATCACTTTCATCTAAATTGGCTCTTAGCAAGCAGACACCACAGTTGATATCAAATCTGACACCACCTGGGGATGCCATTGCTTCAGGGTCATTCATATCAAAGGCTGCCATATTTCCAATAGCAAACCCATAGCCTGAATGGACATCAGGAAGCCCAATTGATCGATGAACAATCCCAGGGAGGTCTGCCCCATTGCTAGTCTGCTTCATGGCTGGCAAGAAGCCACCAACACCACCACTGCAACAGGCATTCCTTAATTCCTCAAACATTAATTTCTCCAGAGCATCATTCATATAGAAAACTCCTTCAACCTGCATGTTGGGCACGAAGCCCTTCTTGATCCTCCAGCAATTTTTATTGATCTTTTCCAAGGACTTCAGCTCATCATTATAGTTGCGACTCATGGTGGCAACAACAATGGCAAAAACTTTGAAGAGCAGCTGCCACGCTGTCTGGTTTTCCAGAGCACCGCCCCCCCCCATTAACATGATTTATAATAATCTTTATATAGTTGTCTTTTAAATCATGTAAATAATATAAAGAAGAGTTACAAACAGATATAATATTATATATTAGTGTAGTTCATTGTTTCTTTATATGGCCTTGAGTTACTGTCTAGCATTTTTTCATTCCAGCATGAAGGATTCCCTGGCTCGTAGTGCATTTCCTGTAGGGCAGGTCTACTAGCATCTAACTCCCTCAGCTTCCATGTATCTGTGAATTTCTTCATTTTTCCTATGTTTTTGAATGAAGTAGTTTTTTCTAGATATAGAATTCTTGGCTGACAGTTATTTTATTTTCAGTAATTAAAAAAATATCATTTCACTTTCTTCTGGCCCCCATGGTTTATGATGAGAAAATTCCTGCTAATTTTATTGAGGATCCCATGCCCGCGATGAGTTACTTTTCTCTTGCTGTTTTTAAGACTCTCTTTTTGTCTTGGTTTAAACAAATTTATTATAATATGTCTTATGTATTCCTTTTTGTGTTCATCTTTCTTAGGCTTGACTGAGCCCTTGAATATCATGTATTTTATCAAATATGGGAAGATTTTGGCCATTATTTCTTCAAGTATTGTCTGTCCTTTTCTCTATCCCCTCTTTCTGAGATTCCCATTATGTATATGTTACTATGCTAGATAGTATCCCACAGGTCTCATATGCTTTTATTTGTTTGTTTATTTATTTAGTTCACTCTTCTTTCTTTTTGCCCCTCAGACTGGATAATGGACTGATCTTCTTATATACTGACTCTTTCTTAGGGCTGTTTACATCATCTATTGAAACTCCTTAGTGAATTTTTAATTTCAGTTATTATTATTTCCAACCCCAGAATTTTTGTCTGATTATTTCTTATAATTTCTGTTTCTTTACTGGTTTTCTATATTTGTTGATATATTGTTCTTTCAATTTCTTTTAGTTATGAGCATATTTAAGACAGTTGAAGAGAATGATATCAGCAATACGGCAGAACAAGGATTTCCTAGCCCTTGTCCCCGCCCCCCCCAACAAAAACACCAAATTAACAACCATCTGCATATAAAAATACCTTGATGAGAGTTCCAGGATCCAGGTGAGAGGTTACAGTACCCAAGGGGAACACAGATATGAGGAAGATACATTTAAAGGGTAAGAAAACAATTTCTCTTTGTATGTTTCACTCTTTCCCCAATACAGCCTAGCACAATGTTGAGAGAGATTACTTTGGCTCATAAATTCTGCTATGGGGGAATGAGAGGGCAAGCCTGTCCCTGAACCCTGGCATCAAGCCTGCCCACTCATCCAGAGACATTGGCACCAGACCTATAATCCAGAATTATAGGTCCAGCTCAAATCCTACTTGGTCCATAATCTCCTCCTACTCTTTCAGCACGAAGTAATTTGTACTCTCATTTTAAAGTCCTTTGCCACAAGAAATTTGTATCATTTTTGACAATTAAATGTATACTGTCTTATAACATTCCCCTCTTTTGCATTTTCAAGTGTTGTTTTAAATCTTATTTATTATTTCTCCATTGGCATATTTACATCTCCTTTCTACAACCATACATTATACTAAGAGGCTATTGAAGGAAGAGATCAGTCTTATTACTTTCCTAGCACTATATTTTGCAGGCAGAGAAAGCTTGGTAAATGTTTATTAAATTACTGTAATTACAGTAAATCATAGTCTTGTATTAGTAAAATTCTTGTTACATGTCTGAACTATAGACCTAGTTTAATGTCTATACACATATATCATATAAAAACTATTTTCTTAAAACTCTTTTATCAAGATATTAACATATTTATTACTGACTGTATACTAGCACTGTTGGTAACTGAAATATGTAATATTTAAGTCAACATTATATCTTTAACATTATTTCCTATAATCCTTAAAAATGTACTTAAAATAATTTGCATAAAGATTCAATTACTTACCTGGCAAAAACTTAAGTAGAAACACAGAAGTAACAGAAAAATATGAATAAGCTTCATGTTGGAGGTGTTCAGGGTCTGTGTCTCTGCTGAGAACTTTCTTCCCACCCAAGATAGTCTTTTGAATTTAATTTTTAACCTCTGAAAAAATATTTCAAAAGAGTAAACCTCCTAAAGAGCTTTGTACTTTTGAACTCTTAAAGAATTTGACTACAGTCCAAAGAGTTTTACCGTAACTGAAACCAAAATACGGCCTTCCCAGTAAATAGCTAAGGGAGGTAACCAACAAGAACTGTGTTTCTTCCAGAAGAGATTGATTTCTTTACCTTATTAATGAACAATGCCTCAATTCTGTTGTCCAGGGAATACATAAATTTCTTTTTTTCTTTTAAAATAAACTATATTCTTTTCCTCTTAGGGTTGAAGACTAGATGGCAGTTAGAATAAAAATATATCAAGGTGGAGGCTTTGCTAAATACATTAAAAACTATAAAAAAAAAAAAAACCCAGCTCCTTTACCATGCATTGGTTGTGCAGGTATGTTTTCTGAGCACAGAAAACTTAGTGAAACAAGTATTCTTGTCCTAGTGCCAAGTTTATTTGTATTTATGAATTAAGTTTGTGACAGCATCTGCTTATACAGTTTGGGTTCTTCTTAAGCAGACTTGAGATAAGAGTTTGGGGTGCAAGGTTCAATACCCATGAAAGGAAGGCAGGGGAAGCAGGGGTGAGCAGAGGGGGAGGTGAGACTGCAACACAGCTTCAGCAAAGCCTTACAGTGCCCACGGGCAGTTCTGCAGTAAGTGTGATCTGTCATGCTGACCAGGCAGGCATTATATCCTGCCTTGCTCAGTTACTCAACATGGGTTTTTCTGCAGCACACGCCCTTAGGTGAGGCATTTCTCTATAGCTGAGGTGGACCCTGAATGATCTGACAATTACTTGCTATCAGAAGACAGTGTCTTCTGACCACGATCTTCACTCCCAGGTAGCAAGACCTTCCTTAATGGAAGACCTAGGAAACTCATTTCTGTGTCTTTCTGAATTCATTACTTGTACCTTTTAGATGTACTTTCTGAAGTACATTTGCTTTTGGATGTATACTCTTGTAGATGTATACGTCAAAGCTGGCTTCAAAATTTGAATGGGTCTCTTTTTTTTTTTTTTAGAGACAGAGACTCACTTTATCACCCTTGGTAGAGTGCCTTGCAGTCACAGCTCACAGCAACCTCCAGCTCTTGGGTTTAGGTGATTCTCTTGCATCAGCCTCCCAAGTAGCTGGGACTATAGGCGCCTGCCACAACACCTGGCTATTTTTTGTTGCAGTTTGGCCAGGGCCGGGTTCGAACCCGCCACCCTCAGTAGATGCGGCTGGGGCCCTATTCACTGAGCCACAGGCACTGCTGGGCCTCTCTTCTTGATAGAAAACTTAGAAGAGGAAGTTAGTGGCAAAGACTATAGCCCATGCCATTTTAGTTGTAGTTGATACCCACTGCCCTCTGCCCTCTGCATTCTAGATTACCTTTACCTGAATTTCCACCTCTTCTGGCTTAGGTGGCTTACCTGTTGGTACAATCCACAATCTCTTCAAGCAGTGGTCTGAGTCTCTGGCTACCATTCACTTCTTAGGCCAAGTTGCTGCCTCTATCCTATTACTGTTATAAGAGGCACCCCAGTAGGAGATGTGGGTTCTACACACTCTGCTCTCTGCCTGCCTCGTAATAATAGCAGCCATACTTCCTCTGAATGATCAGGGTTAATTACCTTCATCAAGATTGAACTCTATTCCTACTGATCCTAGACACAGGAGCCTAATGTTCACTAGGCAGCAGCCTAAGCTTATAATTCAAGGGGATTCTTGCTGTGCTCCTGGTGAGAGTGTGGTCCTTTCGGGACCAAAACCACTAACCCTGCAGAGTCTACAGTTGTGGGGACAGAAAACACAAAGCCTTCAGTTGGTCAATGGAATAAATGGTAATTCTGGTCATGTTTGCCTCCATCCCTTGATTCTCAGATCCATGCATTTTTTTTTTCCCATTGGGAATAAAATGCTATAGGAAGGACTTTGATTCCTGGAGGACAGCACCCCATTCTCACAGAGTCTTGACTTTAACTAGCACCTTGGCTCTGCATTTAGCACCCTGTCCCAGTGCTCTATCACACCAGCAGCTGCTGGATATTTATATGACTACTGGATTTCATGGGCAGAGGCCCACTCCTACATCTCCTTTGCTATAAAGTGGGTGGTCTTGTCTAGTCAGATGTTATACACATGTGGCATTCCCTACTAGAGGAACAAACACTCTGTGATCCTCTGGATTATGGTGCTAACTGAGGCCCTGCACTCAGGAAAGGCATTCCATATATTGAATATATGTCTATTCTTGTAAAAATAAACCACTGGCCCTTCAAAGATTGAAGGGACCCGGGAGGCCAAGGAGGGTGGACTGCTTGAGTTCAGGAGTTCAAGACTAGCTTGAGCAAGAGTGACACCCCATCTCTAAAAACAGCCGGGTGTTATGGTGGGCACTTGAAGTTCCAGATACTTGGGAGGCTGAGACAAGAGAATCAGTTGAGCCCAAGAGTTTGAGGTTGCTGTGAGCTGTGACGCCACAGCATTCTACCAAGGGCAACAGGTGAGACTCTGTCTCTACTAAAAATAGAAAAAAATAAGCCAGGAATTGTGGCAGACACCTGTAGTCCCAGCTACTGGGGAGGCTGAAGCAAGAGGATCATTTGAGCCCAAGAATTTGAAGTTGCTCTGAGCTATGGCACTCATCCCCAGGGCGACTTGATTGAGACTCTGTCTCAAGAAAAAAAAGGGGGGGGGGATTGAAGGGCCCAGATATTGTCTGCCACCAAGTTAGTGGTTCTCCTTGATGAATTGTGCCATCTTGTGGGCACAGCATTGGTCTTTGTTGCTGTGAGGTTGAGTATTTATTAATGGCAGTAGCAAGATAAGCCTTGGGGTTCTGTGCTATTTGCTCATGGGTATTCTCCATCTCTGCAGCCACGGTCACTTCACTGTGGTGTCCATCTCACCTGCACTGGGGTGGCTGATGACCAAGACTCAGTCATTTTAGTTTAGTCATTTTTTTCAGCCAAACTGGCTGAGTCATTTTGTTGGTTATTTGGTGCCTTCTCTGATAGATGCTCTCTGGTGGGTATTAACATGTGGTACAAAGACTTTTATACTTATGCCCACTCCCATGAGCACATATACATGTTTGTACCCCAGATCTTCTTTGCTCTTGATCTTCAAATATTTTTCACGTCAGGAAAAAAAGATGGTCATCAGTCACTATTGCTTGTGATTCCTTATATAGTCTAACTTTTGGCTACGTCTTTCCACACAGTGAATTACAAGGTTTACCACCTGAAGCTCTGCCCCCTGGGAAGACGTTCCCTCATCACTGTCTTTCAAAACTGCTCCAGAGTGTGGCTACAACTCAGCTTCTGTCCATTTTCAACTTGTACCTATGTAACAAGCCAACTCATCTATAAATCAAAGGCAAACTTTTCCTTCCTCTTTCAGCTTGTCAGGTCCGATCCCCCATTGAGCCCTAGGTATGAACTGACAAAGGGGCGTGGGTTACATCTATTTAGGTGCTGGTGGTGGCAAAGAGGGTGTCTGGGCCACCTGCTCACTCACCTTGCTTTTGACCTTTGCTCCTGTTTGCTTTTGGTTCTAGATGTAACTCTCTACCTTACAATACATTTTTACTAAGTCTACTTGACCTTATGCTTCATGGGGCTGTTAAGACCTAGCTCGTAATGAGCGATTCTGGCCACAAGGTGATGTGGCATCCCATTCTCTATTCCACACTTACCAGGGATCGATAGTGCACAAGACATTTCTCAAAATGTGTATAATTCTGTATGGCATGGCCATGCTCCAGAACTCCAAGGTCCTTTATTGTGATGCTCCTACTGGGTCTTCCTTAGACACTGTATGTTGTCACATCACTGACACTTCCAACACCACACGGTCGGCTGGATACTATGGAAGGCTTTTCTGCTTTGGCAGCTGGAGCAATATTCCTCAGTGCAGAATATTCCCTCGGAGTTCAAAAAGCCTCACTGGGTTCTGTGCTTCCTTCTTTGTTAAAGATGCAGCAATTTATCTTTTACTTTAGAAAGGATGTTGTGGCAGATTCCAAAGCACCAGTTTCCTAATACTCTTACTGATGTGCCAAGCTTTGTTTCTCGCCATCTGGAGAACATGTGTCTTCCCAAAGCATTCAGCATGCGAGCCACTTTTTTTTTTTAGCCACCTTTTGTTATCTGCTCTGATAAAGGTAATGCCATCAATGCAAAACAATGTTATGTTTTTATAGGAAGTTCAGATAATCCAGAGTTCTGTGGATTCCATTATGATAGAAGGCAGATGAGGCCTGGGGAGAACTGCAAGTATACAGTGTTGCCCATCCATGTGAATGTGAACTGTCTCTGATTTTCTTTTCTGATTAAAACGCCTGGAGTGGCTTCAGTTTTTATGAACAAATCCTTACTGGTACACTTTATTTTACATTTTATATCGCTAAAACTGGAATCAAGTTTCTCGTGTGTAAAAGAAATTCCACAGGAACAAATATTAAACCTTGGGTAAAGGGTAGAATTTCTAAGCTTAGAAAGAACAAGAGAAGAAGACATTTATATATTTAAACTCCATTAAAATTTTAGAACAAAAAGCACTGAAAAATGCACTAAGCATACAACTCAGTATATTATTTTTTAAAGACCAGTAAAACAAATCGAAAGTGACAGATTCTCTTCTCTTGGATTGGGAATAAAAAGTGACAAAAAGAAAATAATAAAGACACAAGCAATAGTAAGTAAACCAGAAAGTAAAAGGCCTTAGACTTGATAAATGAAACAAAGAATTATTTTGTAAAGTAAAAAAGAGTGAAACAATTTTAGGAGAATGCTATTAGAGTAAGTATTTTTAGGGGGCTGCCCAATATCCATTAATCTTCATAACAGGTTCCTAGTTTTCTTTGGGGGAATTATCTTTTTTCTATTTGAGGTTGTTCTGGTGGAAGAGTTATTCCAGGCACATGATTTCCAAAATGGAGGTTGAAAATTTCATATTTAGCCTCTTTCCATTCCCTTGTATTGTTCAGGGACTGATCA